CTTGCAGATCTATAACATAAAAAGCATTATGTGGCATAAGTAGCTCAGTGTGTGTACTAACATTTTGATGGCAGAAGTGGTGCGCTACGTATTTTTCTTGGAAGCCCTTGCTTTTAAACTGACTGATATAGAGTCACATAAAAAATAAAATGAAGCATACTCAGCTTTGTTGCAACAAATGCTTGGTTTATATACTGCAATATCTGTATAGCAATGGTACAGGCAATTTGCTGTCAGTGTTTCTTTTCTAATGGCTGTTTAGGAGATATAAAATAGTACATAAAATGTGAAGATAGATACATTTTGATTTCTCTCTCCCCCTCTTCTGCAAATTTTTTTCTTAAAGTTTGTGTTTATAGAGTACTACAAAGTATCATCTTCTATCAGCTCTTGCCTGTAGCAGACCGGCTTCTTTGTAGCATGTATGAATAGTGGAAGTTCCAAAAACTTCTGGAAATTCAAAATAATTATATATTTTTTGTTTCCATGGAGTGGGACAGAGAATACCGCCTTGAGTCCTATGTGGTTTAGAAGAGGATATGCACCTCTGGATTCGATATAGGCATCAGTGACAAAATAGAAGTACTCTGCAAATGCTGAAAAAAACCATGGACTTTCTGCCATTAATGGAAATTTTCAGAACTGCTTGTAATGAAATCCAAAGGAAGAGGAAGAGGTTTGGGAGGGTCTGCAAGGTTCCCACAGGAAAATGGAGCCTGAAGGCTGAGCTACAGAGGAAGAGAATTTCTGATATTTGTTTACACATAACAAAATTGGCCTGTCTGCTCTGCTTTCCATGTCAATCTCTTGGTGACTGTTTTTTATCCAGTTTCCTGAAGTCAAGGATAGAACCTGGATTTAGAGCCTATGTGCTGAAATGCATCGAAGTAGTATCACAGTTTGTCTTATTTCCTAACCAGCTGTAAAATCTGCTTCTTGTTTTGACTGGCTGTCCTTGAGTACTAACAGGAATGTGACTTAGCAGCACTGCCATTTAGTGTATTCGTTGTTCTCATGTAATTGAGATCCAATTGGAAGGGAAATTAAAGACATGCTGTTTAGATTTGGAGAGTGGTGTGAAGCTTCAGAGCAATTTTTTTCAGTTTGTTGCACTGAGCTGTGTCCCTAAGGGAAATGGCAATTCTCCAATGCTATCTGCTCGATGCAAAATTGTAGAAGTCAACAATTTCAAAATGTTTTTAAAACTTTTCCATCAGACTTTCTGGATCTTGCAAAGTGGGCTTTAGTTTTAGCGAAGCCTAAAATTGGAAAAGAAGGATGGAGAAGTTTAAGGTGTTGTGTCAAGTCCTTGCTTGACACAAATTTGAATTCTCAGGTCTTTCCTTAAACCAACAAGGACTAATATGAGACCGAGTAACTTTAGATCTCACAAGCAGGCAGCCTTGGCTTAAAAAGTCACTTTTATGGTTATGCTTTTATAGTTACTTTTCTAAAGAAAGTATCACATGGTTACATCATTTTTTTGCAAACCAGGGAGACATACTACAGCTGTGTTCATACAAACGTTGTATAACTCAGCAAAAAGCCACTTGGATTTTTACATTTCTAAATATGTTAGAAAATGTCATGAGTTACGTTTATTATTTACCAGCTGAGGATTAATTTTTTGAGTCATAGTGCTGAATCTGCATGAATATTAAATTCAGTTGTGGAGATCAAAGGCAACTAGATATGATGCAATCGCGTTGCCTCTTCCCGCTTCCCCACTTGTGTATTGCTGGCTACAGAGGACAGAATTCCTCCATCATACTAACCTGATGGACCTACAGGGAAGGAAAAAAAAAAAAGTCAGTCTTTGAATTGGTTTCTTGACTTTGAACTAATTATTGAACAGTATTAGTCAAATAAGAAGAAGTGTCCTTTCTGTGCCTACAGAAGAGGTCCTGCTCTCAGAAGTCAGCTTAGCACTGCAGGAGGCGCTGGTTGCAGTTTCTGAGCCGGTGACACGACTTTCTTGCACCTAGAGAGCAAATACAGACTGTCTGCATGTTTTGCGTCAATGAAATTAAACAGCTGGTAGCTTATTAGGCCTTTTTATCATTTATGATTTCAAACTGACTTTGGAATAGTATTTTAAGAATTTAAATTAAAAAATTGTCCATGAAAATGTGATAGAAATAATAATTTATATTGGCCTCACTCCATTCCTTTTCAGCTGGAGTTTAGAGTCTTGTTCTAGAAGGCATCAGATGACTTTAGAAAGGCTCCAGTAGCCAGGACATGGTCTCCTCTTTGTCATCGCTTTGCATGCAGTTGGCTTCAGCTGCCTGCAGTCTTCTTACGTGTTTTCTCAGAAGACGTGGAAGAGCTGCCAGGACAGTGCAGGCTTTTTGGAGGAGTGAGAAGTTATCTCACTTCATACCCAGAGACAATGTGATGGTAACATGTCTGTCACTACCACTGCTCCGCCACAAGTGTTTTGGGATAAAAATACTCATGCTTGGGGTTGGAGGGAGATTCTTAGTCCAGGCCTATACGGAAATCTCGGCCTCTCAGAATTTCAGAAATCTGGGATATCATTTTATGTTGGTTTTAGTGATACAAGAAAGGAAACATTTTTAAATTTCTGCATAACATTCCCAAATAGTATAAGTAATATGGCTAGAAAATTCTTATTTTATGGAACAAAATTTGTAGATAATGTAGATTTTGTCTTATTATTTCCAATTGAGGGATTCACAGCTGAGTTGGTTAAGCATCTAGCTATGTACATAAGCTCTACTTGCTACTTGTGAGTTCAGATATATTATTTTTTGTATGTCCAGTATTCAGAAGAGATATCTTAAATGTTCTGGATGAAGCTTCTCCAAGTATCAGAATCCATAAAATTACGTATCAAATTTCCTTGTTGTCCTGATTTACTTTATGTTGAGCCAGCAAGTTGAACAGCAAACAAATGGATTCACTTAGAGGTGATTACTACTAAATGGAAAGGAATCTCACAAGTTTGCTAGGTAACGTGAGAAAATAATACAGATTTACAAAATCTGGATGGAGCTACTTTTCCTAGATGGCAACATCTACTGCCTCCTCCTCCAGGCATGAAATTGCATTGGATTTGGCATTTATTAACTTTGCAGAATGTGAGAGAAGAACAATAAACAGAATTTTTAAGTACATCAAGAAGCAGATTAGGAAGCTGTATGTCTGTATTAAGTCAAGCATGCGGTCTATCCAGATAAGGACATTGGTCTATGAGCTCTGTTGTGCTCTGTCATTTGCTGCCCAGTCCTACTTGCCTGAGTAAGGAGTATTCCACCTGAGTTTGGCTTGTGGTATTGTGCCTCTAATAAATAAAATGTAGGACTGTCCTGAGAAACCATCCCGTGCAGAAGCCAAAGGAGTTGTCCAAGTTTGGGTGGGCTGCTGCTGTCAGAGAAGAATGCACCCAACGGTTGTGGGGTGAAAAGCAGATTCAGGGAACTGGCTTGTGTTTGTGTTGGCTCGGTGCTCAGACATTCCTCCTCCTCCTCGCACTGGTTCCCAGCTGTGCTTCTGCCAGTCTTACCAGCTTCCTTAGGAATGCTCCTATGGGCTCTCTTTGCTGCTCCCATAGATGTCCATACGGAAACGCTTGATCAAATGCTTAATCAAGCAAGTACAGTCTCCTTCTATGCGTTCACTCTGTTCCACTCAAGTTTATACTCGGATGTGGTGATCTGCAAGCTATACATAGGGCCTAGGAATACAGAGAAGCATTTAAAAAGGAGTAAAATAGGTTTGCTGGAATCTTGAGCGGTAGTTTTCTCTCTTCATTCATTATTACTTTTTTAGTTTGTTTGGTTTTTTTTTTTTACAATGTCTCTTTGTGAAAATAGGACCCTCTGCACTCGGACAGACTGACCCTACCTCTCATCGCCCAATAAATCAGTGTGCTCATAGCATCAGTTGTAAAATGTCCCATTTCTTAGCTAAATAACTGTATCGCTTTAAAGGCTTTGGAACTGAAAGCCTTACAGTGTTTCATCTTTCTACCAAAAAAGTCTTCATGTGCTTTCAACATTAATAATAGAGAGAGGTAATTTACTGTCCTCTGGCAGATTCCTGGCTTTGCAGGGTGAGGCTTTCTTCACACAGGAACTCAGGTTACAAAACCTCAGTAGCAGAAAGCTTGTAAAGGAGAGCTCTTCAGGGCAGGAGCCCCAGCAGCGTGTGTTTCACTAGGGCTGGTGTTTCAAAGCCTAGGCTGCAGCTCTGCAAAGCGGGGAGACCAGCCACAACTTACTGGGCTGGTGTAGCCCTTGGGTGTCTTCTGCCAGAAGCAGTCCTGCAGAGCTATTCTGAAAGACTAATGCCTCCACCCATGTGAAACCCTTGGCTCCGGCAGTGTTGTTGCTGGTGAAGGTCTGTCCATGTGCAGCACCTCCACAGGTAAATGAAACCCTCTGTGTCTCCATTGGCAAGAGGAGAGGTACCAGTGGCCTTTGTCACTATGGCTTAAATTTTCTTAGAAACCTCTAAGCCCTCTGGTATCAATAAATTGTGTTCTGTTGCAGCTTAAAATGTGTAAATCTTCTTGATGAAATCAAGGTGCTCTATCCCTTATGCAGACTTTAATTTGGAACATGTGAAAAAATAAATACCTTTCATAAAAATGTTCTGATCTACCAGTGGCCTCTATCCTTGAAAAAAATCCATCCCTGGAACAGTCTTGGCATGCTTTGTTAGCTCAAATTCTGGATAAGTTTTTATTCCTTGCTCAGATCAATCCCTGGTTTTGGAGGGTATTCTCTGGCTGGTC